AATTTAGTGTTTGAGCATATATATATATATGATAATCTAAAGGTAAAATTTATATGGGGATAATATTGGGGGAGCTTTGCCATATACTTATTCGATAATGATTATGATGATGACATCGCAATGTGCATCCATGCATTTGCATATTATGTGTTTATGAATATTGTACCATCCATAGTTCATATACATACATATTCATATTATGGGTATGCGTATATATTATATTTTGGGCATGGAGCATATATATATATACATATATATATATATATACGTGGCATAATATTCTCCGACAGTGATGAATGAAAGAATTGTTACATGTTGATGAAGAGATGATGCAGAACAAAAGAGAAAATTCGATCTGTTTATAGAATTTAATTAGGGCCAACCAGGCATCCTTCTTTTACTTCTTCCTCTTTCTGCTTTTTCATTCAACTATTGCCCTTTGACATTTAGCAAAGATCAATATAGAATCATATACATATATACATGTATATATATATATACACACACACACACATAATATCTACATACAAAGTTGCTAAAATTTTCTAACCCCATACGTATATATGTATATAATTAATTTCACAGAGTAATATGATAATTTATTTTAAATTTAATTATAAAGTTTACATTAAATTTTTAAAAATTGTGCACGAGTCAGATTTAATATTAATTAAATTATTATTATTTTTTTCAAATTATATATAGAGTCATCATTAATATATATATATATAAGGTAGACAAGAAGTAATTTCTTTTGGGGACCAATATGGAGCAAAGTTAGGATGAATATATATATATATATATACATGTATATATAGATTGGATAAACCCGTATCTTTCTCCACATCTGCAGTCAGTAATATCGACGCAATAAATATGTACATGTAAATATATATATATATATATATATAAATATGTGTGTGTATGTATATATATGTATCACAATCACTTTTCATGTAAAACTACAAAGCTACGTCATCATGGGCCATCACCCATCAACATACGAACTTCAACTGTCAAACTCAAGTTCATGATATATACATATTTTTCAATGCATATTACGTATAGTGATAATTAGATTGTAGTTGGAATTCGTACACGCATATAGATATACGCACACAGATAATTATATATGTGACTATACGTATATACACGTACATACACGGACGCGGAAACACATTAAAACGGTATCGCAATTTAAAATTAATTTCATGTTTATTAATTAATTAATTAATTTGCATGTGATATGCTATATACCAGGCAGCAGCCGAAAGGTATTCTGCTAATATATATATATATACATATTCCAACAATTCTGATGTTGTACGGACATCAGAAATATATTATATATAAATGATTATATTTGGTAATTAATTATAATTAAACTAAGATTAATTATAAATATACAAATTGATATATCTATATGTATGTATATATAAGCTAGGTGATGCTGGCTAGATATGCAACTTGTCCAAAGCACATCAGGGTCACAATCATGCAAATTATAGGGGCCAATTTTTCTTATCCAAACAAATATCTCAAAGAACTTCCTCCTTTCTTTAAATTTTATATTATATTATATTATACTATACTATATTATATAATTATATTATATCGTAAAAGTGTTATATCATATAACCACACCACACCAGGCCCCTTATAAATAAGAGCTCGCATAATCCCAAAGTCCACCATAGCCAACTTACTCATCTTCCTTTTTCCTCCTCACTTGTATAATTATACACATACATTCGCATGTACGTGTGTGTATATGTGTATATATATATATATAGTTGATCCTTCTTTCGAGCTTTGGTAAACCCACTTGTATCTGCATTCGTTCTTGATCTTTTCTTGATCAGTTATTTCTAACTGACCCATCTGAGAAAACTACAAGTGCTATACATATATAGGTATAGAGATATAGTTATGGAGAGAATAAGGGATTTGGCGTCAAAGAAAGCATGTGTGATATTCACAAAGAGTTCATGCTGCATGTGCCATAGCATCAAGGCACTGTTCTACGAGCTGGGAGCAAGCCCTGCAATTCACGAGCTCGATCAAGACGTTAATGGCAGAGAAATGGAATGGGCTCTGCGAAGTTTAGGCTGCAACCCCGCCGTTCCGGCCGTCTTCATCGGTGGAAAATACGTCGGCTGTGCCAAAGATGTCATCTCCCTCCATGTCGATGGGTCTCTCAAGCACATGCTCATGGAGGCTAAAGCTATCTGGTTCTAGATAAAGATATATATATATATATATATACATACACATATACATGTGTATGTATATATGTGATTGTGAATGTAGTATATATATATATGTATAAGATAAAATAGCTCTAATACCATGTTGAGAAAGGTGGCAATGTTGTATTAAGGGCTTTGTTTTTTCCTTGAGTTCCTTGAGCACATTGTGTGCAGAAAATGATCAGTACTGATCATGAATAGGTACTGTTTGGTTGTTAATAATTTTCTGTAAGTACAGTATAATGTTTCAAACCAAATCCTCTACAGTTTCTGTTTCTGTATATATATATATATATATATATATGGCTTATATATGTGAAAAAATAATATTATACATACATGAACTTAATTATATCATACTATATATAAACACACAGATATATACAATCTTAATTTTGATGATATAGATTCGGATATATAGATAACCTTGTAATTTTTAAGGGACTTTATTCTATCCGAGTATGTGTGTGTGTGTGTGTGTGTGTATACATATATATATATACCCAGAAATTCTGTAAAAAAATAAATAAATGAACTAATTATTACACAGAACAAAAACACGAAGAGGGATTAGTCTAAATTAAAAAATATTTAATTTTATACTATTTTTAGGTCTATTACTTCATTTAAATTTATATTTTCTGAATTTTTATTTACAAAAAAAAATGACTCCAGTTAGTTAAATTAGTTAAAGGATCTCTTATATATAAATATATATATATATGTGTGTGTGTGTGTGTGTGTGTATATATATATATATTTCTTCTCAGCAGTACTACTGATCTTTAAGAATGATTCGAGTTTTAATTGGAGCCCGAAGACGTCAAAAAAATAGTAAACAGAAATCTTAGAGAATATATATATGTATATATATGTATTTATATCCCTTAAAGTGCTGTTAATTAAATGACTACACTTGAAATTATTCTATAGATACATTTATATACACATACATATACATATATATGTATATATTCCAGAGAACTTTCTCCATGCCTCAGACAATTATAGACATAGTTGGAACTTAAAAAAATTGTTCAGGAACAAACAACGACAAAAAGTACAAATTCTCCATCTTTAAATTGTGAGGCTCTAATAATATTTAATTATTTAATTTGGATCACTCTCTCCTCAAACCCTGGACACATGGTGCAATATATACCAGCCGTGCATGATTTACAAAATTTCAATTGTTATAATAATCTTTACATACACACACATGTATACGTATATGTGTATGTATATGCCACGTGTACCTTACCCTTTTAATATAGGCTGGTGGGCAATCCAACAAAATAAAAAGGTGAAATCCCAGAAACTTTTCATGTCCTCCCCCCCATGTATTCCTCCATATCCAAAAAGCCTCAAGGTTTGCCATATCATGATTCTCTTCATCCATATCTACATACATTTATATATATATATATATAATATATATAGAGAGTATATATATAAAGGCTTAAACTTAGTTTTCTATTTAACCCCATATATTTTTTTTTATTTTAAAGTATCTATTCTTTTTTATTTTAAATTATCTTTAAACAAAGTTAAGTCACTATTAAGTCATCGCATCCTCGTGTGACTTAATTTGTCGGTGACGGAAACTTGCTTGTGTACCGAGATGGAAGCTGACGTGAAAAAAAATTTTAC